CTTCATAATTGTGTTAGCAAAATTGACCCAAAAAAAAAAAAAAAAAACAAACAAACAAAAACAAAAAACAAGCCCTTTGAATATATTTCATTTCTGTATACCTCGGCTCATCAGTATTGATAAACTAGCCGAACTCGAGCTCAAGCCCTACTCCAAGCTACATTTGCAGTTTTGAGATTTGATGAACTTCTTTTGTAATTAGAGCCCTTCAGCTAAATCTTTTCAGATTTTCTTGATTTTTGGCAGAACACTTATTACAAAACATCAATCCTTAACCTACTCAAAAAGCGTAAAGTGCTTCAATTCACGCATACCGATTCTCGACTAGCCAATAACGGCATGTCGCCATCAATCCAGAAGCTGAGGTGTCGAGCGAACTACGAAGCCCTTCGCTTCACTCCCAAGATTGAAGAGCTCGGTAAGAAGCTCGTCGAGAGGTTGAGAGAAAACAACGAACCGTACATTGCTCTTCATTTGAGGTATATAAACTATAAATTCTTACATGATTATTATTTTCGTGCAAAATGTACGAAAAAAAAAAAAAAAAAAAATTGAATCTCTTCTTTGTCGGGCTTAGATATGAGAAAGACATGCTGGCATTCACCGGGTGCAGCCACAATTTAACCTCATCCGAGGCCAACGAGCTTCGTACAATGAGATACAACGTAAGGCATTGGAAAGAAAAATACATCAAAAGTAAGGAAAAACGAGCGCAGGGCCATTGCCCTATGACTCCACGAGAGGCCGCGCTTTTCCTAAAGGCAATGGGCTATCCGAGCTCGGCCCGTATCTACATTGTGGCGGGCCGCATATATGGGGCCCATAGCATGGACGCGTTTCGGGCCGAGTACCCAAACGTGTTCACACACTCGACTCTGGCGAGGCCCGATGAGCTTGAAGGAATCGGGCTTTTTCAGAACCGGTTAGCGGCTTTGGATTATATTGTTGCTTTGGAGAGTGATGTGTTTGTTTACACTTATGATGGGAATATGGCGAAAGCCGTGCAAGGGCATCGAATGTTCGAAGGGTTTAGGCGGACTATAAATCCTGACAGGTTCGTAATTTGTTGTTGCTGTTGTTGTTGTTGTTGCTGTATTTTTTGTGGTAAGCTTTCT